ACCAACTGTTGTCACCTTCTCACCCAGCTGCTTGGCGATGGTCTTGTAGCCCATTCCAGCCTTGTGTAGGTCCACAATCTTGTCCCTGACATCCTTGGAAAGCTCTTTGGTCTTGGCCATGGTGAAGAATTTGGAATCTGGATTGATTGATTGCTTCTGTGGACAGGTCTCTTTTATACAGTTAACAAGCTGAGAGGGCTCCCAATGTCAGCTCGTTACCTGTATAAAATACAGTTGTTTCTGCCTTTCCCAGGAGGAGCCATATGTTTTTGACTGATAGGGGATCAAATACTTATTTCATTCATGAAAATGCAAATTACGTTATAACTTTTTTGTAATGCATTTTTCTGGATTTTTTTTGTTATTGTTGTGTCTCTCACTGTTCACATAAACCTACCATTGAAATTGTAGACTAATCATTTCTTTGTTAGTGGGCAAACTTACAAAATCAGCTTGGGTTCAAATTATTTTTTCCCTGACTGTAAGTGTACTTCCCAAAATGTCGTACAATTGCACATATCACTTATTACAAGCCACATCAGATAAACCACACCCATCTCTTTCACAACACTTGTCATTCACTGACTAATGTCATGGCTCAACGGTTTCTCTGCAACTGCAGATTTTTGGTAGTGACATCGTCTTATCATCATCTTACAGCAGGGGTACACCCATTGTAATCCTCACACACAGTAATCAAATGTGTATGTGCTAACACACACACACACACACATTTATGAGGAGTTTCACAAACCAGGCATTAATCTCGAGTCGTACCATTTCTTAAAGTCAGGGTAGTACTGCGGGTGGTGCTTGTCACAAGCGTCCTTCAGGGTCTTGTGGAAGTGAAACGCATCTTCTTTATTAATATAAACTGGAGTGAGGTCTGTTCCTCCACCAAACCACCACTGCTTAGTGCCTGGAACACAAACACACAATATGCACAGACAAGGAAGAAGGAAACAAGGGTTATCATTCATTCACTTACTCAATAGTGTCACTGACACCAAGACACAAAAAGGACAGAAAATCACACACTCACCATCTTCCTCTTCAATCTCAAAATATCTGTAGTTGAAGTGCACTGTGGGGATGTGGGGGTTCTTGGGGTGGATAACGGAGCTCACCCCCATGGCGCAAAAAGGCAGCTTACCTGGGAGAACACACTGAGCATATCAGACACAGCCAGTGCTCCCAACAAGAGCATCTTACAACATTATTATAACAAGCAGGCTCCTTGATACATGGCATGTTACACTGAATGAAGGTTACCACCCCCATAACTGAAAAACATATACAAATATCAAATCAACAGAACTCACCATCTTTCCCCTTGAGGACTTTCCCTCTGCTCCTCATTTGCTTGGCGGCTTCCTCAGTCAAATATCCAAACACCACAGACACATTTACCCCGGCCTTCTCAAACACCTTTCCATCCTGCATCACACAGCTGATTCCTCCACCACCTGACACACACACAGGGGGAGAGAGAAGGGAATAAATTAAAAGACAATGCCGCAGCTTACCATCACTGTATCAGATGAGGCTCCATTCACCTTCCTTCCTCTCCCACCGGTCCACCTGGAACTTCCCACCGTCTACCTCCTGCAGGGCTCTGCAGAACTCAGCCTGCGTCTCCATAATTAACATCTCCATCCTCGTACGCATGTCATCTTTCCTCCCCTGTAGCACGCTTATGTCGGTCACGGGAGGAGACATGAACCCCCGGCATCTTTCCAGGATGCTCCCTTCCTGATCATTCACCTCAGTGGCTTTGGAAACTCTCGTCGCCATCTCTGCACGCTGGAAGTGGTTAGTGTTGGCCAAGAACCCACTGCTGTTACCGCTGCGGCTCCACTTAGCGCCAGGGCTCCTCTTTTGGTCTTACCAGCTGCGGATCTTCCTGCGGTCCCATGGGACATAAATCTTACTCCGACACCTCTTGAAAACCATCTTGTCCCCGGAAGCAAATTCACTAGCGGGCTGTGAGTGGAGGATAACTGGGAATGCAACACTCCTGCCCTAGCAAGTCCCGTTAAATGTGAACTCAAACATCGTTTCACCGTAGTCTGAGCCGTTTTGTTTACTGAGCAAAATACGACGGTGGCCATTTGTAGGAGAAAACACCCTCAGTGTGCAGCAGTCGGTGGGATTTACTGCTCTGAATAGCCTGTAGGAGAAAACACCCTCAGTGTGCAGTGGTCGATGGGATTTACTGCTCTGAATAGCTGCTCAAAACATTATCAGAAGTTGTATGTCTACGTGCATTCAGTCAAGTACTTCAAGAAAAGGGGAGTATAGTTCCTCAGTAGCATAGAGACAACACGGGAAATGTCGTTCTACTTGTTCGTGGTTTTGAGCTCTCCTGGTGTTGAAAGCCTAAAGTAAACTACACGACCCAAAGGGCAGTGCGCCCAGAAAAAAAATGTGGCGTTCAAGTACTTCTCATACACTCAGTCTTCTGTGAACACCAGTACGGCTGAACTAAATGCTGTTGCTTTTCTCAATCTCTCACATTTGACCGGAATTAAATGAAATCAGCGTATGTAATTACAGTATCCCGATGGACTAGAACGTAGACCTATGTGTTATATGGGGTTAAACGGCCCTTTTCACAATATAGCATTTTCAGTATTAGACTAAGTTTCCTACAATATTCTAATAGTTGCTTTTCTAAAGTTTCTAGATATTATTTGGGTGTTTCTTTTTGTTTACAGTGTGTACAAGAAGATTTTTATTTGTTGTGAGCGCGTTTTGGTGCGTGTGTCCTGACTACGCATGTGCAAGTAGTAAAGCGTGTTGTCGATCTCCTTGGCGACAGGCCTATAAACCTTTTAGGGCTAGAAGCAGATTATGTGCACGGATATTGCCACGCAGACGGCACTGCACGGTGTGGGCCATTCACATGGAGATATAGCCCAGTTGCAAGCCATTCTAAGTAGATGTCTTCTTTCACCGCTTTCAACAAATAGCCCTACGGAAGAACCTGCAGCCGGTGGTAAGTTTTCTAACAGTATTGCCACATTTTGACAGGTATTTATTCCTAGTAGATGAAAAAATACCAACCACTATTATATCTCTCTTCTGTTTATTTTTTATTAACTGCAGAGCTATAAAGATAAATTGGATTATAGTCCTTTTGTGTTACATCCTTTATTGTAGCCATTGAAAGTGGCTTTGTGGTACAGAAACACAGATAAACCTACTGTATAATAAACACACAGGCGTTTTGTTACAAACATGCCCCATATTTGTAACACAAAAGCATAAATAGAAACTGACCTTGCGCTACTGATTTCTGTCCAGTAGAGGACAGCAGAAGTGGTTATGACCTTTGTAAATTAATGCAGTTTGGAACAGGAATTAATGGTGTATAAAGTGAAAGACATTGGTGCCACTGTACAAAAACTAAAGTAACATAATTCGGAAGATTACACTTGCAGTTTGGTTTGTGTGATATAAATACATTACCTTTGACCTTTGATTTGTCATTTTGAATATCCAAATTGTACTCTACTGTAGGCTGGGCTGTTGTATGTCTATGAACGTCCTCGATCACCCAGGTCATAAGATATATAGCATTGCCACTGATCAAATCTGAATGGTGGGCTCTCCCAGATATGATAGCTTGTACTGACTACTCATCTTGATGTCATGAGGTGGCAAATTATTGGCAAATAAAACAGTTTAAAGTGCAATTTTCACAACACAATTTATAACATTGTCATATTCTTCTTTACATGAATTTGTATTTTACTTTCTTGAGGATATTTATTTTGATATTTCAATTTTTCCAACTAGTATATTATTACCAACACTATAATCTCAAATCAATAGGAATCATTCCAAATAATAATCAACCATGAATATAAAGATCACATTTATTGGTTATCTGTCCAGCTAATGTTGAGATGTCTCATTTATGACCAATTGGCTGATGTGACTTTCGCATCTGATTTTGTCTCAGGTGAATTATGAGTGGGGTGGTTTGCAAAAAGTCCCAGGAGGAGTATGAGGATGACTTTGAGAAGGATCTGGACTGGCTGATCAGTGAGGAAGGCGGAAGCGAGGACCAGGTAAGCTGGGCCACACTGTGCAAAGGGCAATTTCTATAAGACCACCGGGCAGACTGATGGCATCTCCTATTTCTTTTTGTGAGTGGGGTGTTGTTCTGCTTGTTGCAGTGACAGTACGTACTGTTGAATTACCTGAGCTTGCACTATTTGCATGTGAAACCTATTCTCTTGACATACTTCTGCTGTCCCACTGCTGGATGCAATATTGATGAACACACTTAGGGAAAGGCTGTTATCACTCCAGCATGCCTATTATAGTACCTGCTAAATACTGCTGCTGCTCTGTCATGAACATTGAACCAAATTGATGAATGCAGCATGCCTCTGTCTTTTCAACCCACAGGGTCCTGACTGTAATGACATTGAGGCAAAAATTGACAAAGAACTGGAGGATGCTGAGAAACAGCAAGGAATGAAATGGAAAGAGAAAAGCTACAAAGAGCAAAATAAAGGCAACAAAACAGAAGCACCAGAAGAAGATGAAGACAGGTGGCCCTCACCTATGGAGCCTTTAGAATACGACTCAGATAGAGACAGCCCAAATAAATCATCACCTATAGTTTCACCTCCGCCAGGGATGGATGACCAGACAGATGAGGAGAAGAAGTACATTCTGGAGAAGATCCAGCAGGCTAATCGGGAGCTGCAGGATCAGGAAACTCCAGATTTGACAAGACGTAGGCGACTGCATTTTAAAGAGATGCTGGTGGACCTGGTGGTACCTCCATTGCAGTTTGATAAAGATGGCCCCACCGGCAAGGTGGGTGGTGGAAGGGGCTTCAAGGATGGAGCCCCAGATGGAGATGCAGAGACTGAAATGTCAGGAAGGCTTTCCAAGCTAAACCTTTCCCCTTGGGAGGGACGTGTGAGTATCGATGGAGGACAGGAGGTAAAGGAGGGCAGAGTCCTTGTAGAAAAAGATGGGAAATTTGATCTGGTCAGCCTCAAAGAGGTGGAGAGTGGAGGACTTCTCCCTCTTATAGCAAACAACTACAGTGATTTCTCACATTCCTCCCCACATCACCAGGAGCAAGCTGTGAGCCCCAGTAAAAACCATAGTTCCTCTTCTCCTCCTTCTCGTGCTGGCACTTCCTCCTTCCAGCAAGGTGTCGATCACTTCCTGGCCCCCAGACCTCCAGCACAACCCAGGTGCAGGCCCAGCTCAGCTAGTCACATACAAAGAGGCAGCCAAAGAAGAGGTAGCAAGCGGAGGGTGCAGTCGGCCACTGGGACGACCTCCAAGTCCACATATACCCTCTCCTCCCACCAGAAAGAGCTGCTGCAGAAGATCCAGGAGAGGAAGGAGAAGCTGGCCAGAGAGGTAGGAAGGAAGTGACATAGTTGCTCAAATAGAGGTCTGAACTCTCAGCAGTCAAGGAAGATGTCAAACATCAAATGAACAAAATAACATATCCATTGTATGTATACAGTGTTTCCACTTTGCACAATGTTAATTATATAAATGTTTTTAATCACACGTTTCCCATGTTAGGCAGAGCAGAAGAAACATGAAGAGGAGGAGAACAAGAGGCAAGAGAATGAGCTGGCATTCAAAGGCTGGCTGCTGAGAAAGAGAGAGCAGCTTCAGGAACAGAGAAGGATCCACCGAGCTCAGGAGATGGAGAGGATGAATTCTACAGTAAGGCCACAAAGGAGTATGCAAACCTTTCCATCCATCCATTCATTTATTATCTGTTGTATATTGCTTATCCTGTAGAGGGTTGAGGAGGAATCTGAGCCACTCCCAACCAACACTGGATGAGAGGTAGACATTGGACAGTCTATCACAGGACTACACAAAGGGTAAATCCCAGTTCCCTTCCTTATTCTAATGAGCAAGAATCAAGGAGGCTTCCTGGAGGAGCCATGTGCGAGATACACAAAAGCATCCCTTGCAGAAGTCGTTTATGGACTGACATGCCCCATTAGTGAAAATCAGTTGGTGATTGAAAGTTTCGGTTAAACGACCAGAGGAAAAGATGTCTCATGTCTTTAAAAATGTGTTTCCTCAGTTCCTATCTTCTCACACTCTCTTCTTGCATCTTGTCCTCACATCTTATGTGGGCAGGACTAAGACACAAGTAAAAGATTTACCAGTAGAAACAGACAACCACTCACACCTAGGAGTGATTTATACTCACCAGTTAACCTAACCTGCCTGGTTGTGAATTGTGGGAGGAAGCCAGAGTACCCAGAGAAAATTTACACAGGCCCAGGGAAAACATTTACTATTTATGAAGTACTAGGTGTGATATATATTGGAGCTTGCTTTAGATTATCAAAATGAAAATAAATATTAGTCTGCACAGCCAGGGATCAACACACCCAGGTACCTGGCCTAGCCTGTCACCCTACTTGCATGACACACGAGCCTGATTCCTTCCCCTGTATGTGGTGGGTCCACAGGGTGGTGGCTCCATGCCATTTTGTCTTGTTTTGCCCCACCAGACCCCATGGCTCACAGCCCGGCTTACCAGCTCCCCTCCCAGGTCTGACTCCAGCAGGATGCCCCGTTTTCCCTAATGCAGGTGAGGTAGCGAAACTTGAAGTGGCCATTTTCTTCAGGGTTTTTGAATTGCTCTTAGTCTGGTCCCTTCCCTGGGACCAGTTTGCCTTGAGAGACCCTACCAGGGCCTAATGCCCTGGACAACACAGCTCCCAGAATCATTGGGACACACAAAACTCTCCACCTTAATGTGGTACATATGTCATCTGGCCTGGGAATGCCTCGGAATCCCACTAAAGGAGTTGGAAAACGCTGCCAGGGAGAGGGACATCTGGACTACCTTGCCGAAACCGCTGTCACCATGACCTGATCTCGGATAAGTAGAAGAAAATGGATGGATGGAAATAAATATAATTTATTTACAGAGCAAGATGGTTCAGTGTAGAAAATGTCACTGGCAGCCTATTATTGTTGGCCACATAAATGAACATTTGCTGTCATTTCCTTTTTATTACCGCATTAATGTGCGTTTCTTTACACAGAAAGACTCTTCACACAGTGACCCAGAAGAGGCCTTCAGGCTGTGGCTTCAGAGAAAGCAGGACCAGCAGAGGAAAGAGAGACAGCTGGTGGAGCTGAAGAAGCTGGAGGAGGACAGTGTTTACCTCTTACATAACCGTGAAGAATGTGAAAAGGCCTTCAAACTGTGAGTTCACTTTAAACCTTTTATAATTCTGAACCTTGTTTGCTGATTTACATACCAAATTTTACATTATTTTGACATTTTCAACTAACATTGTAGTAATTTAAACTTTTTGGTGCATTATTACTATTTATCACTTTATAAAGACAAACTACATGAGTAAGCTATCATCTTTACTGACCTCTGCTGGAGATTGAGGCAATTTTCTCCTATATGATGTGGGTTTCCGATGTGGTAGCCTACATATGAAAGTTTAAATAAGTTAGTTGCCTAATTAGCTGCCTTTTTGTCATTTGCCCTTAGAGTGAGGCCATTTGGCTTTTGCAAATTAGATTTGTGCTCACAGTCACTTCCTGTTAGTGCCATGCTCTGTCATGATGTTGCAATAATTCACGTTGTATGCAAACAATGATCCCATCTATCCTAATATTCTCCATCCTCAGGTGGGTGAAGAGGAAGCGAGCTGAAAAAAGAGCAGAGCAACAGGCAGCTCGAGAGCGCTCCCGCAGGTTGGTGCTGGAGGAGCGACGTGCGCGATGCATGCGGGACTTGGTGTGCACTGTCAATGAAACCAAGCCATTCAGATTCAGCGAACAGCTGGCCTACCACTTCTGAAACAAACCCTTGCATGCCTCTCATCAAAAACCTAATTTAGATCCTATTTTGAAGCTGCAGATCTCATCATACAGTAGTTTAACCACAGACTGGACAGCACACAACTTGGCGTGGAACATACAGTAGTTTACAGCTGTGTACAGTTGTTGCTAGAGTTTTTTTCATTTCCATTTCTGCTCTGTTAAAGCAGATTTCTTTACCACAGTGACCTCTACTCAGTGTAAACAACACCTAACTAATTATTAATTAACATGAAAATATATTGAATAAATGATTTTTACTGTATTTACTTTGTATTGTGGCCGATGCAATTTGAACAGAGCTCTTCACAAGCTGTTGTGCAGCTTAAATATGAGAGCTGAACCATTCTCTACAGTATACTTTTTATCAGCAAGTATTTATAATATACAAGGATACATCACATTTTAAGTATATACCTGTAACAGAAAAATGCTGTTTGATGGTATGAAACAGATAAACCACAGTTTCTTGATATAAGAAGCATTCTTAGAATGAAAGATGCTGAAAATATGACATGAATAAATCAAATAAAAATACACCATTAAATATACATGTGTAATATTATATTTTTAATTTATAGGCATATACATTTTTGTGTGCTACAGAATTTTATAATTAAAGACCAGCGAAACAAAAGTGACCAACCTCATAACAGGACAGGAGGTTTGAATCTATAGTATGTAGGAAAACCAAAGCCACTCTCTTATGTTTGTTTCCACTGGATTTACAGTGCACGACTCCGCCTATCTGTACGGTCAACACAAAAGCAAAGAAAAAAAAGATCTTACAAATATGTATTCCTTGAAACAGGAATGAATGACATCTTTTATGAAAATAAAGCTTCTCATATTTAAATTCTGACAATTATAATAACAGCTGTCTTATTAAAAACAAATAAATAAAAGTAAAACATAAACATGCTCGCATCATGTCAGTGAACATGTGACCCAGTATTTTGCTGTGTGCGCCCAAAAAAGAGGAAGTGGATGAAAAAGCAGGGACAGAAGACATTTCAGTTTCAGGCTTGACACACAGGGACAACTGAGTGCATTATCATTAGATATTCAGCTTATAAGAACATATCTTATTGTATGTGATATTTGAGACAGATACTCAAATTAGGAAAAAAACAGTGTACTGCCTACTTTGAATTTAATTGTTACTGGCACAGGGGAAAAACTATATGGAATAAATTAATGTTATTACCAATAGCATATTTACAGTAACTCTACCTTTGTAAAGATGAAAGGTAGTTGAACTACTAACCAATGAGACCAAGGTGTGTTTTTGTAAGTGTAAGTGTTTTTGAATAAAACCCATATTCACCTAGAGTAACAACGGCAAGCACAGCCCAAAGCAGAAAATGTCAGCCGCTGTTCTCTTTGCCTTCTTCACAGTTCAGTGAGGTTACAGGTATGAACAGTCAGCCTACTTTTCCAGAACTGGATTTTGTTCTTAACTACATGTATGAGAAGGAACCAAAAGTAAACTCAATGGGAAGTGTCAAGAAGCACAAAAACACACCTGACAGACAACACACAAAGTGACAATATTATTAATCTTGCACTTCAAACAGTACAAAAATAGAATATATGTTCTGATCCAAAGGTCAATAAATAAAATATATAAAGGGAACTGATCAATGGGACAGGGTGAGGATGTGTTTCTGCTTCTACAGTTCATCTTTAGGATTGATGCTGAGGCCCTGACCCCACACAGACTGTGTGTCTAATGTCTGGATCACCTCATCTGCCTGTAGTCTCTCCTATAAAAGAAAAAGTATTTAAGACTTTAATTTGGGCACATAGTGAATATATGGACTCTTATTTTTGTAGGAATGAAATCTCTATTTGTCAGACCCAGTTTATGATATTAAAAGCTGCCTTGTAAATTGCGATGCAGTCAGATGGAAAAGATGGATCCTTACAGTATCTTAACCTTATCTTGTCCAGGCTACTGTAGAAAATTAACTCAGTAATCAAAGCAATGTCCGATTAAAGGAAATTGCAACTTTACAACAATTAAAACTTTTATTTGATCCCCAAATTACTATTACTCAGAGGCAACATGGCTGCCATAGTACATTAATTATGTTTACCAGTTCTCTGTAGAGTGGGTCCAGGGTGAACCACAAAGCCACAGCACACCTCTGCCCACTGGTAACGGCCTTTACACCGTGTGGATTCTCCCCTCCTGAGGAGAAACCCACCACTCTGCCACATTTGGGCTTCACTGATGCCTACAAACAAAGACAGTGCAGAAACATAGATTCAATTGTTGGTTCACTTTAGTAAGATCAACACTTCACCATTCTTTTCAAAGTTAGCTTTAGTTTTAAGCCAAAGGTTCGTCCTGCTGGAGGACTGAATCGTAGGTGAACAGCAGAGCTAATCACAGGCTGTTTTTATGAACACACTGTTGTGTTCTCCTCTGCTGGTTCTGCTAATATGATGACAAGAACAATATACCATGAAATGATTCATTCTATGATTTAACTTCACAAAGCCTGCATTTAGTTTTAAACACTTCAAATCAGATGGGTTTGTTTGACTAATTCATAAAGAATCTAACATTAAAATTCTTTGAGACTGGTTAAATGCTGCAAAAGTAATTATTTTTAGGTCCAGGTCAGTTTTTAAAAACTATGTCTGTTAGGGGTATTGATGAAAACATTGTCACTGTAGCAAATGAACAAATAACTTGATTGGACAAAGCATGGCTGCCCCCAGTGTGTTTCAGTCGTCTGGCCTACAGTAAGCAGTACCATATTCATATTTTTCATTGTGAAGTAAATCTCATTTCCAGCTTACTGTGACTGTTTTAGCATCCATTTCTGTGAATATGAACTCCCCTCCTTCAAAATCTCCATTTAGATATAACAGTGCACTGAAAAAAAAATAAAGTAATGGAGAACAGATCAGTAGTGCAGGGATATATAGATAGATAGATAGATAGATAGATAGATAGATAGATAGACAGATAGATAGATATGTGTATGTATTTCATTGCATAATTAAGATGCTCCAAAGAAGATGTACTGTATTTAATTTGTGTGTGTTTACAGAAGAAGCATGATACCTGTAGTCTCTGTACGTGTATGCTGGTGGTTCCTTCCAGCACTCATTGGCGTCAGGGTCCAGCAGACAGTTGTCAGCGTGGATGGGATGGCTCAGGTCATTCCTATGGTCTTGCTGACCTGGGAACATACAACCAACAGACACAAAAAGATTAAATGCATATCTACATAGCCTTTTACAGTGCAAAAGTGAACTCCAAGGAAGAAAAAATGTCTTAAATCAAGGTAAAAGATACTTGTTTTTTGTCTGACAAGATATCTCTTCTTGCCCGTGTTTTTATGTCATATAATTTCAGTTGTGCCAGCTTGTTTCAGCTTTTTTTTTTTTTTTTTAAACTACCAATCAGGGATTTTATTTGCTTTCTCTTTTTTTTATTTTTATAATGACAAATGATAAATATCTGAATAGCTGAGCAGAGTGTGCTGGAGTGTAGCAGATCGTAGTGGAGCAGGGAGAGGGGATGCTGGGTGGAGCAGAGTGAACTGATTTGGAGTTTCATGCTAAGTTACACATTGTAGCCTTAATTATTGAGATATTATAAACTTGTTACTGAGATTTTGATGCTGGTTCTGAGTAACTAAATGCTTGAAATTAGAATTACTACAATTATAAAGCTGTTCAATCAACACTGGCAAGTACAAGCCTACTCAGTATCAGATGAAACACACTTGTTTTTAGTCCAGCTACACTACTTTTAAGATATCTATGGGTTTTTGAAACAAGATATTTTTACTTGTTTCTAAAAATCTTGGCAGGGGAAATTTTCTTGTTTTGTTGCCAGATCATTTAGCTTATTTTAAGTAATAGTCCCCCCTTTTTATGACTTTTCTTGTTCTTGATAGCTGAGTTTTGCAGTGTAAATAATATACACAGGAAATATCTTCCTTTTCCTTCCTGTGTTTTGTATTTTTAAAAGGTACTAATATCCTATCAACATAGTATGTTAGCCATCGCAGACAGCAGAAGCATTCATTAAAACTATTAAATCTATAAATCTGTTAGCGTGCAGTGTTTGTACTGTAATTATTAAAGAATTATTTAAACTCATTCTGGGTGTCCTTGTTAGAATGTCAGGTAAAGATGTACAGTTACATCAAACGATGGTGCATGTGTTTTGGTGTGAAGTGATGTGTGGGGGAATGACCTGTTATGGCTGTCCGGCACACCAGGTGTGTGTAGGAGAAGTGAAGAGTGGAGCTGAGCAGGAAGTATGACTCGATAATACGTCTCACTCGCTCACTGGTGTCATAGAAGAGGCGGGCGCTCCTCATGGGCACCCTGCCCTCATAGCCATACTGTAGGGAAGAGAAAACAAAAACAAAGACTGTAACATGCAGTAAAACAGAACATCAGGAATAATAATGAACAGGTGATAATATATTGAGTAAATGTCTTTAATAACGACACTACAGGTAATTGGATCCAACAATATATCCCCAATGAATGGTCAAATACAAGCCCTGAATTTGCTTAGACAAAATACAACAGGTTCGATTTCATCTTAAAAAGTATTAATTAAAAGTTAGCTCGTGTTGAGTGGTTAACATACTTGCAGGGTTTTGAGTACTGTGGCTCCTTCAAACTTCTCATTGGGAGTGTGTGGTGACATCCTGCCTCTGTAACCGTCTCCTGCCATGGTGACGATCTGGATAAAAAACAAAAACACAGCCAGACATAAGCTTGAAATGCAGATTCACACAGTGAACTTTGCTGTTTGCACAGGGTCAAAAACTGTTTTTACTGTGTAATGTCCTTACGTGTGCCAGTTGTCTGAGCTCTGCACACTCCTCCTCAGATATAACATGATCCAGTAGCACTCGCTGGGTCCCATTCAAGGCTGCAGAGTTCTGCACCAGCTGCACGCTGTCATACAGCAAGGGGCCGCCTAAACAGTTCACAGAACAATATTTAAGCAACGTAATGCGCCATCTCACCCATGGTGGTCAGAGAAAATAAAATGAACACTAATGACTCCATTTTAACATTATAACTCCCATTCTCTATGATCTCTGGTAGCAGCCTCACAGTGAAGGCCTATACCTTCTTTGAGATGTTGTGGAGCAGCTATAGTGACATTCTTCTTCTCTGAGATGGGAACGTACTCCATCCATCCGTCCGTACCAGAGGGAATCCTGAGAGAGCAGAGAACAGAAAATGCAATGAGAGCATTATATGTAGACCAAAACAGTAAAGCTGCAGACCAGAAAACCCACAACAATGAAGCTACAAATTACTGTGATAATTTGTGGGTTTGTCACTATGAGCAAAACCCCTAACATTACACATAGCCGTTTCTTCCAAAGATATTGATTATAGCAGCTTTACATTAACATTTGCATATGCAGCTTTTACTACTGCAGAGGAACTCGATGTTACATTTTGAAAAGTTTTACAGTTGCAGAGATCCTTTTTACCTGTTCGAATCTTCTCTTCCACCGGTGCTGCTCCAGTAATTCTACAAGAAAAACAAAGGGAAATCTATAATCTCCACATTTTATACCTTCAAATGTTCTAGTGCCAGGAAGTAAATAAATACATGAAGAATACTCCAGGGGTGGACTAATGCTTTGCAATGTAATTTTACACGCTGTGTATAAGAAATGTGAAATATGACATGACCCAATGTGACCAGTAGGTGTTGCTGTTGAATGCAAAGACAGCGGTGCAGGGCTGGTGCCAGACACCTGTTACCCTGCAGTGAGTCAGCAGGGCCACATTAGGGCGGCTGCACACCCCAGACATCAGAGTCATGTGGCCTGACTTGCAAATATCTGCCTGTTAAATTACAATCCTCTTTTCATTTCTGGGCAAAATTAAGAATTAAAGACATTGGTGTGTCAACAAATACTTGCAGTTTGCTTTGACTTTTAGTTAAAAATGAACCATGAACAGTAACATTGGGAAAATGTTATAATCTAATAACTGACCCCTTCGATAAATTCAGCACCCATGATTTTGCTGCCAGTCAGAAGGAGTTCCAGTTCTTGTTTATGCCTCCTTAGGTACCATGCGGCTTTCTGTGAAAACACACATACACATCAGTGGTTTAAGGTAAACAATCCCCTCTGTTTTTAAAGAGGATGTAGATGCATGTCATCATTATAGAAAAGATGCTTGTGCTCTAGAAAATAAAGAAAAATACCACAAAAAAATATTCCATATCCAAGCCAACGCCGAACTACGAGGAACATCTGTTAATACTTTTATTTATGAAGTTTGTATTGAACATGCAGTCACAAACGCACATTAATGACATTCTTCAAGTTGAACTGTTCTGTGCTCACATTTTCAGTAATGACAAGAGGTTTTATATCCATAGCAGAGCTCATCACAAACTAACTGTACTCTAGTCCCTACTCATTCACAGACCATTTAAAGGGAACCAGAGTGAGTTACTCTTCCCCTCAGCTCTCCTCGCCTCAGTGCCGGGGTTAATAGAGTGTGATATATTCTCTCTTTCTCTGTGTCCTCTCAGAGGCACAGTTTTACTACCGTTTCCTGCCTGAAGTAAAACATGAATGGAAGTTAAGTCTGGTGTTTCTCAAGCCTGTAATAACACTTTATCATTGGGTGCTGCTTTTGGCTTTGCAGAAAGATCAGTTGCTCAAATCAATTAAATCCAGTGTCACATATATATTTACACACAAGACCAGCGGTGGAAAAGTACTCAAATTCTTTAAAAAGTAGAAATACCACTGTGTTGAAATACTGTTACAAGTAAGTTACTTAAGTGAACGTATTAGCATCAAAATATACTTAAAGTACCAAAAGTCAAAGTACTTACACATGAATATACAGTATATTGTAGATTTGTGCTGTAATTACTGATGCATTATTGTGAACATCACAGTTAATGCTGCAGCTGGTAAAGATTGAACTATTTCATGCATGCTTATAATTTGAATTACTGCTGGGTACCTCGTGAATTTTCCACCAGGAACAAACAAAGTCTTATGATTACAGTGTATATATATATTTTATCTTATTCTGAAAAGTAAATAGCAACTAAAATGATAAAATAAATGTAAAAATGGAGTAAAAAGTACAATATTTACTTCTGATATGTAGTGAAGTCAAAGTATACCTCAAAATTGTACTTAAGTACAGTAAAGAGGTAAATGTACTTAGTTACTTTCCACCACTGCACAACATACTTTATTTAAAGCACTTCACAGCAAACAAAAGAAAACAAACAGCAAGAAATGACACAAAAAGGGGGGTGGAAGAGAGAGATTGATATTCGTAATAATGATAAAAGTGACGATAATAATAGTAAGACAACTGGGTGAATTAGATACAGTAGTGGCACAGTAGCTGAATTTTTTCTGAGTAGGTTAATCACAGTTACAGCCATTTCTCAAAAATACAGAAGAAGCGAAATGTGCAGCGGAGGGAGGAGCAGCTATAAAGGACACCCTGTCCTCATGGATCAGGGGGTGGGGGGGGGGACAGACAGAAGTTTCTGATCAGAAGATCTCAGGTCTCTGATAGCACGATATGGAGAGAGAGCTCAGCGATATAAGAGGGAGCCAGACCATTTCAAACTGAAGACAAACAACAGAATATTAAAGTTAATTCTCTACAGCAGCTCACAGGGAGTGATACGCTCCCATTTCTTTCATTTAGTTGACTCTTGCAAGCTGTATTCTAAACTAACTGGAGGTGTGATAAACAAGCCTGAGAGATACCAAAATATTGAAAGTCACAGTAGTTGACTGGTGAGAAACTGGACGAATGGATGAGGTGCAGAGAACTGAGCAGAGTTTGGACATGGTGCAGAACCAATTGATTTGTTTATCAACCTTCACAGATGAGTTGAGCACGACTCCAAGAATCATTGCATCATGAGATTTAACAAAAATGGGACAGTGACTCAAGATGAGAAATAATTTTGTTAGTTAAATGGTTGTGACAGATAGACAAGGACAGAAAGTGCCTGTTCAGTACACATCCTGACTGATGCCGGATTTTTGAATCCATTATCAATAGTGAGATTTGAAAGTTAAAAAAAAAAAATTGATAATATATTGGACATTATTCATTTGCTCATACATACATAACAAAAATTATACCAATCCCCTAAATGTTATTAGGATGGATATTAAACTTGTGGTGGGCAAATTATGTAATAAAAATGACTCTAAACATATGTTTCATACCTTCAACTGATACATACACTGATGATATATTTACAAATAGCTCATACTAGCTGATTTATCTGTTGAGTTCTAGTGTGTATGTAATATGTGAATGTATTCTGGGCTATGTGTGTGCCTATGTTTTCATACTGTATGTGTGACACAATGAGAAACAATGTGTGAGTACTGTTGTGTGTACAGTGTACTGTACTGTACATCTGAGTATAAATAAAACTACATTAAGTCCTATGGTTTATACATTTATCTGTGTGAGAACAGAAGTATGTATGTGTGCTTGGGGGTGAGTCTACAGGGGACCATGCTGTGAGAAACCATGGTGTTGAACATTATGAAACTTGACCATGCACAAGTTGATTTCTCGTAGTGGTTAAAAACAAACAAACAAAAAAAACCAGAAGCCGTCTTCCCATCAGTCCTAATGCAAACAGTCCCCAAATTAGTCCAGAGCATTCTGTGGACACGCTAACATGACTTCTCCCCCTCCTCCAGAGTTCCTGAAAGGCAGGATTCTTCGGCAGGTCGGGCCTGGCACTGAGACTGAGGGCTCTGTAAATGAGCTCTCCAAGGTAAAGATGAGAAAAGGACAATGACTGTACTGGATGATGACGGATTGGAAAGACTTGAGAGCTAGAAAAATGTGAGCTATGAGTCAAAAAACATAAGAGTGATCTGTGACACGTCAGCTCTCTTTATCCCACGCAATGTCAACAGCACACGCTCACACATTCACACAGTCCTGCTGGGAGCTACGATCACTCTAATGTGTGCCAGGCTTTCTAGAGGTTGTGTAACCGGGACTTAAACAAAGCATCGCTGTACTTTTCAAGCTGACTAGACTTTAGGAAGGACACATTCTCAGTGCTGAAGTGGCTGATGAGACTTGGTGAACTTAATTTTCTCTAGCAGGTAGACATCCAGCCTTTATTTAATCAGTGTTATACACATCAGGGGGCAAAGAAATATTAATGAGCATGCCCAGAGGAAAAAATGTGCTTACTACTTCCAGCTGGATGAAGAACATCAACACAAGTGAAAAGCCAACTATAACAGGCACATGTTGGCAAACTGTGAGTAGCAAATTCATCCAAGAAATATAGCAAATGGCCTGCTGCCTCCAAACTTCTTTCTTCACATCAACACTTTTCCTCTCCCTGCATGTCTTCTTATTATACTTCCACCCTGGTGACAGCTGTGACCAGAGGCATTATGTTTTCGGGTTGTCCATCCCATAGCTCAGGAACGCCTTGAGGGAATTTCTTCAAATTTGGCACAAGTGTCCACTTCAACTTAAAGATTTTGGCGGTCAAATGATAAAGGTTAAAGTCACTGCGACTTCACATCCATCCTGTTCTTACATCAGGAATACCTTGAGGGCATATATTTGAAATAATTACCCTTAATATCTTTTATTAAATTTCTTCAACGTCTACACTACATTCAGTATATTATATGAATCTGGACAGACAAGCTTGTAAACTGCAACTCCACTGGTTGGCAGAAGCATACAGCTGTGTGGTGGTAATCAAATGCCTTATTAAACAGATTTTTAAAATTCTTTATCAATTAATGGTCCACAGCTTGTTCAAAACTACAAAAAAGGTCTGTTCAGATTTTCCAGCTTTACCTCATTTCACTCTTACACTGATTTGCCGTCTTATTGTTCTTCCAATTTTTTGTAGGTTTTTGGTTTTACTCTTTTTATAAACACTTTGCACATCTCTTGTACCATCTTGGTGAAAACGCCCTTTAAATTTGAAAGAAATGCCTGTTAAAAAAAATATATATATATCACAAGGTCAACCACTAGTTTCTAGTAAAAAGGGACACTGTAATGTGTAATTGTGCTGTAAAATACAGTATAAAACACAGTCACCAAACCATCTCTCAAATCCACACATCTGTGTTGGTATTTACTGTATCATACAGTATCTCTTTCTCAGACTTCAAACCATCTATACCTTCCCACCCTGTGTGCACACAGTGGATACCAACCTCTCGTGGTTTGCTGTCATGTCCCAGCACATCTCTGTAGTAATCCACATTGTCTGTCATGAACTCCTCTCCCTCATGGAATAAAAGGTAGGCCAAAGCACACTGCAACGCCTCTTCCAGCCTCTCCACTGCAGAGAGAGAAGAGTTAAAATAGTTTCTCTTTGGGATTTACAGATCAACATAACCATACATACACAAACAAAATTCTGGTAGGAGTAGATGACCTGCCTTAGGTCTACTAGATAAACCGGATGGCCGGGGTATGTGTGTGAAATGTGGAAACATACTGTATCTACCACAGCTGACATTCCAAAACCATTGCTACCATGAAGCAAAAGCTGCATGCTGGTTGTGGAACAGTGGAAACAGCACACTGGCACACACACACACACACACACACACACACAAAAATGACCCAGGAGTTAATTACAAGAGAAGATTGTCAATGATGAAACGAGACAAACACACATCAGGACCATCCTGTGCCATTTCCTCATACTGATCACAAATCCAAAACACACTTTCACATGTATTCACTCAAACAGACACAGAGCTAAAAACCAACATATATAACCACATACACACCTCCTGCTAGGTGCACACACAAGCACATTCTTTAAGGTGAAGGGTTAACTAGAAGCTTCCTGCTTTGGTTGAGGCTGAGGCAGCGTATCTGCTGTTGTCAGCTGTGTGTGTTCGCAGGTCAATAAGAGTCAGGAAATTTGAGCTCAGTCAAACAGAAAAATGTCACTGAGGATTTATTTAGAAAGCTTAGGCAGCTAAAGCAGAACGAGATGCTGCCGAGTGATGGTAAACGTCCACTGCAGCAGAATGGTGTCATGTCACAGAGTAGTGTAGCACAGCAGACCACAGAGAACTGAGATTACACACTCACTGGTAAATAGTAAATGACCTAGATTTCCCATGTCGACAGTAACAATGCTGCTAATGACATCCTGCTGCATTTCACGCTAGTAGATATCTCACCACGAGTGGCACCATCAAAATACTTATTTTCTGTGAGCACTGTCTCTTTACAACTTTCATGTTTTTGTTTTTTTACATTTCAGCCTTTTCAAAAAAAGACAGCTTCTGGTTTTAACTGCATTTTACCCAACAACTCAGGTCTGACTATTCCCATTTAGAATTATGTACATGTTGATTAGTTGTGTTAGAAAAAACACACAAGAACAACTGGTGTATTTGTGTGCAGTGCACCCAAACAAACCATTAGCTAAGATTATTTAGTGCATCTCACTGCTTCAATAAAGACTAAGCTGCGAATCATTTCCATTTTTACAAGTCCCAAGACAGTCTTTATAACCTCAGGTAAAAAAAAACAACAAAAAACCCTGAACTTTTCAGGCCTTCACATACACACACATACCCATCAGTGGCTGTCAGGAATCAAAGCCAGCTTTTAGTGTAGTTGCACAGTTCCAGTGATCCACTTCTTTCTATCAGAGCCACATGCCTAAGGCTCATTAACTATAATCTGGTGATCTCATCTACTCAGCACACTCTCCTTCCCAACTAGGCTTTATTGTTGGGCCAACACCCTTGTCTCAACGAGACTTTAATTACTTCAACAATAAATAAAAGCTTTTATTCATACACACACAGAGAGAGAAACAACACACCTGTGAGCCATGGCATCAGATTAGATACACCCATATAAAAGTTGCCATGGCAGATACACCAACACACACCAGATAATAGCAATAATACTTAATGTGAAACAATGAATTAACAGGGTGCGGTTCACAGTTGATTGACTTGATCGATCTGCACCTCTTTGTGGACACTGTGAGTTTGGTGTATGACCAATTACACCAAGCATAGTTAGATAGATGTCATGTTTGGGAGCTTCAAAATGAGATTGTTGCTCCCTGTGTTACACAACTGACAAAAAAAACAAAGAGAGAGATGAACTAAAGTTCTTGAGGAAGAAAGACATTCAAGGGGTGTTTATGAAACTTCCAGAAGACCTTTAACTTACCCTGGAAGTAGGCAAACTGAAGGTAGTCGTAGTGCAGAGGCAGGTAGTTCTCCATGGGCGAGAGGCGGCCTGGCCGGGTGGCGAGGTCTCTGACACACTCATGTTCACAGTGCAGCACCTGAGTGAAGTGATCTGCAATGAAATGACATTGCATTGAATTTACTTCACATCAAGTACATTTTATTTTAAATTGCCTGATTTCACTAATCACAAATTTGCATTAAAGGGGCTTTACAATCTGTACAGCATCATCAGCATATTGGCAATCATCAGTATATGACTTTGAGAGTGTTAGTTGCTTCTTAAATTTGGCATCTTTGATATTTGTATTATATACGGTAAATATTGTAATTTAAACTAAAAGATCTTATGCAATTCTAACCATAAAAAGTGCTACATAAGTCACAGTGTAAAAAGCGTGTACATTTTCCATCTTAAATTTGCTCAGCCAGCGTGTTAAGGCAAAAGTCTGTTCTGAAAGATATTGGTTTGATATTAACCCAGGTTTAAAAGGACACTTACTTATGCATTTGAAATGCAACTGAAACCAAACAACAAAAAAAATCTTGTTAGCATGTTAGTCAGTCTAATGGAGACTAAAAACAGCTAATCTTAAGCTTAGGAGAAGCAGAATCAGCACACTAAGATGCAGTCATTTTCTTTGAGCCTGTTTAGCAGCGAGGGATAGGATGTGTCTGAAGAGGTCAAGATACCGTAGATGGAAAACAGTGTGTGTACAACAGAAAACATATGAACTGAAGCATGACATGTTGTTTTACTTATCCGACACAATATAGCCTACATAGGACCCCACTGAAAAGACAATATTTAGCAGTTAAAGAGTCTCCTAAAAAACACTGGAATGAACTGATGAGCTGTATCAAATCAAACCAGTCCAACATCGCGTCACTTCTGCTGCCATGATTAAATACATGTTGCTTCTTTTTAAATTGTGGTTTGCTTTCATGTCATTGTTGTCTCTCAGTTGATGCTGTGGACCAATCCTGTATTTCTTTATGTGAAGCACTAGGAGAAGAGCCAGTGGAGTGGATAACAGAACGCTTGTGTGTATGTACAGTGAGGTCACTCCTTAGCAGCTGCAGCACCATCACTCTCACACAGGAGAGATGTTGTCTGTTTCCATTTCGTCAGGCGCCTCACAGGAGCAGAACTCTGAATTGGGTTAGGTCAGGATAATGCACCTCTGTAAAGGGATGCTATTTCTGGGTCAATGGGGCCTAAACATGAGGAAGTAATTCTACGAAATTCTTTGTTATTCACCTCACGGAACAGAACAGCATATATTACACTTAAAAAAAAAAAGCATACATCTTAACATAAACACTGTAATCAGTCTATGCTATAATGCTGTTATGGAAAATAATGCCCTGACTGCAAGTAAAACTAACCCAGCCAAAACTAATTAGCTGTCATTTTGGTGTTTACAGTATGTAACTGGGCAATACAGTACATATTTGAGCTAAAGCTTGCTATAGGCCGAGATTAAACTACGGCTACTGTACACAAACCACCTCAGTTTCCATGAAGAAAGGCCTGACTTGTATCAACAACATTTCCCATGACCAAAACTGCTGTGCAAGTATTATTGCTTCATTTTCATCTAGAATTGTTGTGATGTAGATATATGGCATTACATCCCTGCCAAATCAGTGCACCCTTATTTGTCAGGGTTCAAGTGACACTCAGTTTGCAGCTCAGCATTTGAGAGAACGCAGGCACATATTTGTAAGTGAAGAATCTGATTCGAGGCTGCTTGTGCTCCTTTCTGAGTTGCGCTCAGATTTCTCCACTGGGATTTGTATGAAAGTCTGTCCATGCCAAAAGTTTTGAAAGTCCACAAAACAACTTGCAAGTGCTATCGATTCTGTGGAATTTGAGAGCATGTAGACATGGATTTGAACCATGATTCTGATTCCTTCATTTCTGTACACTCTCCAGTCCAAACATGGCTGTTATCTCTCATCTGTTCTTTGATCCAGTGTTAATTTCTGTTCAGTGCCAAGCTGCTGCCAGGCAAATTTGATCACCCAGTGAGTATGAAGAGTATTTGGTCTTGCCTAAGCCTCCCTAGGCTCTCTCAGTCCAACAAATCACAGCTTGGGCTTGGGGCCATGTGACACACAGCCAAAAACATTGGTGGACAGTAACGGACCTCTGCGACTCATCAGAATCAACCCAAAACAGAATTTATGAAACCAGTGTCAGAGGGCTATCTAATAAAAATGATCACAAACCAGCACTGTTACAAAAGCATACAAGACAAGGAAGGGTTTCATGGCTGGCTGGGAATTGTAACATCCCATTTAAGCTTTTAATGTGGTGCAACATACAGCAGGTGGCCACATTAAACATCAGCAGAACAGCTCTGAAAACCAACATCTGATGTCACCTTCCTGTACACTTTTTCACTGAATTTCATCAATTCCACGGTCGACACATTACTGTAAATGTAATGTATAAAGGAGGTGTAAATAGTTAAAACCTACACAAGAAACTACCAGTTCTCATGAAAATAATTAAGTAATACTTGCTCTGGTTTTGACATAGATACAGCTGAGTATGTCAAAAGTTATATCCAAAAACCACATCATGTCCATGTTGGGATTTTAATACTTATTTACCAAGGAAAGGAAGAGTGTGGTCTGGATATTACTGGTTCCCTACTTCAAACATCTATACAAAGTCTGTGCTACTTGTTGTTTTTTAGATGCATGTCAACAGCAGTTTTCTGTTCAATTAAACATGTTGAGGTCTTGACTCTTACCTGATACAAGCTCATGGAGGCTGTAACGGTAGCGGAGGTGATCGTGGCCCTCAAAACTCTGCGGTGCTTGGCATAGAGCCCGACACTCCACATCTGCCTTGTAGTACTCCACCAGAGCCTCCTCAAACAGAACGATGGCACCCTCATAGTCGCCTTTGTCATACAGCCTCACCGCTGCTGTGAATGAGTGCTGTGCACAGAAGAGAGATGAGATGTGACATGCCTTTATTAAAGCATTCATTCTTGGTATTTCTTTTATAGCTTCTTATTTCTTTATGCTTTAAGAAAGCCTGATTTCAGTTCGGAAAGGTTTTAACAAATCCTCTAGTGCATATGATATTTCTGAACTCACTGATCTGGATTTCCAGGCTTACCTGGTGAGGCCGGGCTTCATGGTCCACAAAGTGGTTTTCTGTGATGTCCTTGAGCTCTTTGTACTGCTCCAGGTTCTGACCCATCTCAACATGTTCTGGATTGGCCTGGAAATAGGTGTGAGCTGCTGCTGCTGCCTTGTCAGGCTGCTTCAACTGGAAAAGAACGGAGCAGAAGGAAAAAGAAATATTACATTTAAAAACAGAACAGACCCTGGCACTGTTCCTGTGCTTACTGTATATTCTGGTCCAATAATCCTTAGAGGTTTTAGAATCAGAATCACAATCAGCTTTATTGGCCAGGTGTGTTGAACATGAGGAATTTGACTCTGGTACAGCAGCTCTCAATGTGGATGTACATACATATCCCCATGCAAGGCAACAGCAAGGAGCAAGTAAACAATATGCCAACAGAAGGCTGTGTAGTATAACAAAATAAACAGTATAAACAAGCAATAAACAGTACAAACAATGCAAAATAAACAGTGTAAACAGGCAATAAACAATACAAAAGAGCCAAAGGAATGCTCATTATAAAATTAGATAAAAATAGAATAAAAATGGAGTACTTAAAAATAGAGACCTGTACAGATTTTAGAAGCAGAAATTCACAGAAGAAGCTGGCAAAGTTAAAAATCAGCCATGAGAGGCTAGTGCATATTAATGACTTTGTAATTACAAGAAAGTGTTCACTTTGTATCTGCTTGGCTTGCAATCTCAACATAACTGTGTTTTTGTTCTGCTAAATCAACCTTTAACAAGCATTAAATTGTAAAACTACAACTGTGACTTGATAAGTTTAACTGTTTTCAGAAGACCAATAATCTGCAGATGGTTCTGTGAAGGCGCTCCTGCAGGGATACGCTGTTGCCCACTGCCTGTTGTTAGAGAGAGCTCTCACTGCTGCTTAAAAAAATAAAACACTAGTTCAATTACCTTTAACACATGAAGCCTTTAAGGCAGATCATTTGAACCAAAAGAAAAGACTGTTCCGTCATTTTGTGCTCTTATGTTTGACGTCTATACGAGTATAAATGAATTTATTTAAGCTGTAGTTTATGTTCTAAACACAGTTTGAGTCGAATGTTGAAACATGGTCATCATTTACAAGAACAGTGTGAATTTGACTACAATGTCTTTCTGGGGTTTCTTCCTTTTCTTTACAGTCGTTACACTTAGGCAGCCCAGTTGGCTCCTAGTTCAAAGCATTGAGATTAAAAGATGCTATCCCCCTTCCCCATTGCCACCCACTACATCCCACTGCACACCACAGTACATCATCCATTCCTCTAACATCAAAGGTGCGTAAACTGCTCAGCTCAGAGAGGAACTTTTCAGATTTCTGGTGCGAGCTAGCTTCTTGTAGCTTTAACATGCTTTGAAATCCATTTTAAACATCTTAAATCATTTTCAATAACAACAAACTCTGGAGGAAACCTGGCATCAGAGCATTCTGGTCCTAGTCAGATAAGATCATAATCATGGTCAAGCCTCAACATGAGCAGGACACACAAGAGCCTGCACTCAATCCAGCTCGCTGCACACCTCAGTGAAATGCACTTGTGACATGAAACCAAACATTCATAAGAAAAGCAGGTGAAGATTTTAACCTGAGACCTTTATTGCATGACAGAGGTTCAGATGAAGAGTTCAATATAAAATAATGGTGGATGACAGAGAAACTGTGATGGAATAAAAGACAGATACAAAGACGTCAAAGCAGAAAAGGATGGTGAAACATTGGATATGGCTTCCAGCAACTCTGTCTCTGTATGTCAGAGACATCCGACTCCAATTGTCTAAATCCTGCATGTTCCCAACATGTGCAAACCTAAAGCAGACCCCACCATCTGGGAAAGCTTCTCAACACACTGACCCTTAAGAGCTTGGCAGCCCAGAAATGGCTCATGAGCGCCAGGAAAAAAATACTTATCACAAAGACCGTTGTTCTTTTTATATTGTTTTCAAGGTAATGAATTATTAGCAAGATAAAATTTCAGACTTTCCACATTTATCAAAGATCTAGGAAATCTGTAGATCAAGTGTGAACAACTTTTTTTTTGTACACACCAAAGGGAAAAAAAATTAAATTAAATAAAATAAAAAATCTTTTGCATGCTCTCTACATGGGAGGGAAACGATTTAACTAGTCTGCTTAATACTTGATAAAACTGCACCGATAGATGAAACATTATTTATCTCACAAACATCCAACTCTTTATGAAGAAAAGCCCGGTTGCCCCTGACAGACCAAACAGTCAGGAGGATTCAGGAGGATTCCTGCTCAGACCACCTGGCTGTAGCCACCAGGACACACCCAGCATGACTGACCAACCCTCATGAGAAGAAGAGAGAGCTACAGTAAGACCAACAGGACACAGGGTTTCTTGTGAATTTGTGTGCTCAATGATATGCTTTACAAAATAAAACAACTCATGAATGACTGGAGTTTAAGTGCCAAATAAAAAACATTTCAGATAGAAATTTAATCAAAATGTTCCCTCAGAGAACGATGCATCACATTTAAGTGATGTGACAGTTAATATCTCAGATGTGGAAAATACACAGTTTGTGTCTTAAGGCTACATCTCTCCTATTTGGATGTCTTGAGTTTGACAACCACACACTCTCTGCATTTATGTAACTAAAAGCAAATGCAACAAGTTAAAACCTTTTTTGCTGGTAGGTGTTGTAGCAGGTCTTAGGGAACATGTGGACATAAATCACTCATGTCTGTATTAACCGCAACCTCAGTTAATGGAAAACTAGCCAGGAACACTTGAGCACACATTGTAACTTGGAATGCATTGAACTCTGATTCCATCAGTGTACATGTAACTAAGGGTGGATTTTTTTTTCTCTAACTGATGGTGCAACCTCCAGCACACCACCCAGCTCTATTATGTGCCCTCTGCTGCTGCATTCGTCACAAAATCTGGCCAAGATAATTCAAGACACTACTGTCAGCTGGAGTTTCCTGGAGCTGATCATCATCTGTTGATATGTCCACAATGCCCAGACTACCAGAGACTAAACAGCCAGGATCACAGGGGCTGGGGCGTACAAAGGAGGGGAAGATGTGAGGGGTAAGTTACAGGCTGTCTGAGGTCTGCAGCCACTGACCTGCACTCACCTGCCTCCACCTCTTCATCTCCTCCTCTGGCTCCTCCTCTGGCTCCAGCTGCCCTCAGCCAGTCGGGGCCGACCTGGCTCAGGCCCAAGGAGGAAGGAGAAATTATTCTAGTACTCAGAATCATCACAAACACAGCTGTGGTCAGCTCCTGCGAGATCTATTGTCTGGGGAAACCTTAAACATGGGACATTCGCTGCATTTTCTTCGTTTATTATGGAGCCTTTATTGTTGCAGTTACAGTAGCACGTCTGTTTATAAGGGATGTAGCATTTTAATGTAAGCTGTGTATGTTTTAGGAAGGATCCTTCGTTTAAAAACACCAAAAACAAAAGGCGTTATCCACTAGAACATTTGAGTCAGGGGGGATGATAATGGATAAGAGAGTTGTTAGGTATTTTTAGTCAGATAGAAATTGGATAGATACTTTATGTATTAGAAATGTTTAGTGGAGATAGGATGTCTAGTTAGACTGTTAAATGCTTAGTCATGCTTATGAGTTTCTACAGGGTACATCTGGTCAAGGATAACTAGAGAGAAGAGTTGATGACTGTCAGCAGACAGGGTGTTTAATATTATTATTATTATGATGTGTATAACTGTAGCCTTAGCCATAATATGTTCTCATGTTTAAGTCACGACATGTACTAGAAGTCTGTGAGAATGTTTTTAGTTACACACCACTTAATCAACAGACACACACACATACACACATTGATTTGCTTCATGTTTTGACTACTGCTATGACCAGCTGCAAAGCTGGCAACAGAGACGTCCCGGTTGATGTTTCTGTGTAGTATGGGGCTAGCCCAACCGAGGGGATATAATGTATAGGCCTGGTGGGTTCAGGGTCTTTCATCTTTCATCTGCCTGCGAGCAGTTTGGAGGTGCAAGATACCTGAGCGTGTAATGTTAATTTTACCTGTGTTCATGGAATAAATCAGCACTGTTTTGTAGTTACTTGGACTGTCTCGTCTCAGAGTCCGTATGGTAAAAAGTACCGGATACAACAGAGTCAAATTTAATAGAACCTAAGCTCACATATAAAAGGTGGTCATTATAGTGAAAATCATAAATATGCTATCTGCTCAGTGTTCATATTATCTATGTATTTGTGTTGTATAACCTTGTTTTCTTTTTCCTCTCAGACAGTTCTGTCTCCCAGACACTCCACACAGATTTAATCTCCACACTTCATGCACACACAGACCCAGTCTCTATTGGCACACACATAACCTGTTACCTACACAGCCCAGCAGTCTGGCCTCAGCTGCCTATCTAGAAGATATCTATGAAGGCCACATAGCCAAGACACATTTGTGATTGGTTCCAGCTAGTGGGGTGATAGTTGACCAATGTTAAACAAAACCTGACTGTAACTTCTCTCCTTGGTCACTCACTGACTCTTTGCACTGAGTGTGTGATCTCTTGATCACGATACTGGTATTGTTTTATGCCATTGTCTGATTTGGTTAATAAATTACAGAAAGACTATCTGACAACCTCCTACTGATTTCCACAGCAGTCATTACTTTATGAAGATAGATTATTCATCATAGAGGATTTCTGGGAGTCCCATATCGAACTGCCATAAACTCAAAAAAGGCCAAAGCTCTGAGACTCTGTATTCAGAACAAATGCTCATATATCAAACTGAACAGTGAAAGGTTAAAACACCCACTGAGGAAGACAGAACTGAAATCAATTATGGGTTTAAACTGAGAATGCCATTATACTAAATAGTGCAATGGAAAATAACACAGTCTAGAAACAGCTATGCATGAATAAGTCAAATTGATGCGTCTGTCTTGTGTCTGTCACCAGAGGGAAAAAAGGAAGAAAAGTAATCTTCTGAGAAAACTCTAACACAACAGTCTGTAAGTAATTAGCCACTTTATTTCTGTGTTGGCCCACATCAGTGTTAGGGAAACTACTTTGAAAGCATAGCTGTGCAAGCTACCAGTCAATTCACACGGCAAGACGTTGAACTACAGCAAAGCTACCGGGGAGAAATCTAGTTTGGCTG